CATGATAGTATGAACTTGATCAGCAACGATACTTTGGTATGTTGTGCTATTCAGACGTTGTTCCACACGAATTAAAGGGCCGAAAACATGCCCCAAACCATAACACTACCCCCACCAGCTTGAAGGGTTGTACTCATGCATGTGGGGTGCATGCTTTCATGCTGTTCCCGCCAAATTCTCACTCTGCCATCTGCATGATGCAACTGGAAACGTGATTCATTGGACCACATTACTTTTTTGCAATGCTCGACTGTCCAATCCTTGTGTTCCTGTGCGAATTGGAGACGTTTTTTCTGGAAAGTTAAAGTCACACTAAACTCGGGCATTAAATCTTAAAAATACATTCAAGTACCTTAACTATTAACAAATATGTTTTTTATTTGTCCATCACTCAGCTATAGATACTTAAATCATCTCTGAATTCATGTTGACACTCTCCTTCCTTCTGGAGGGTGGCTACATTTGTTCCCCGTGGTCCCTGTGTGTTTTGTAAAGTAGCTACCATTCCAGCTCCACTTTCCTTAGGTGATCTGGAAGCAAACTGGACAATGCTTTATAAGTGTCCTTTCTTTCTTTCTTTCTTTTTTTTGCCTTCCTTTGGATCAACTGTGGGTAATAGGGGTTCTGTTTGTGGAGGTTTTTCTTTTATTGTGAACTTCCTATACGATACTGTTTCAGTTTGGTTCATTAATACGCCGTCTGAAAAAAGTATATTATTTGAAAATTAAATATAAAGTAGCTACACAATTACTCCACAATTACCTATTCTTTCCATATTATATTTAATGTATATTGTATAATTGTTCACATTTGTTTTTATAGTTCAGGCACACACAAACATTCACATATTCCTTAGTTTTGGTTCATCATTTTCAGTTTCAGGATATGTATGACATTACTGTGCATTGTTCAGGCTTGTCTGAAATGCCTAGTTCTCCCAATGTATAGCCTGTTCCAAGTCCTGTTCCCACATGCTGCATTCTCTATAGAGATATTTGGAGTGGTCTATCTGATTGTGACTAAACTGCAGCAATGTTACTGATTCTTATTGATAGAGAAGCTGAAAGTGGATCTGTGGGACATTACCAGATTTTATAACCCAAAACTTCCTGACGTACATGACCTTTGTTTCACTGGCATGTTTTAAGGTTTTGGCGTTAGTTTTGCATGTGATTTCAACACTTTGGCTATATTCCATGAAATATGGCTTTTGGTATGAATATGGCAGTTTCGTGACATGGCCTCCTAGAGGTGCCTGTTGATGAAATATTAACTAACAATGTTTAGTACCTCATTCAACTGGAAAAATCCCAAGTGTATCTTTCCACATAAAAAGTCTCAAAATCTGCACCAAATAGTGGTGCATTTTTAATATGCGCCAAATAAACTATGTGCGCTGCAACATAATAATTTGACATTTGATGCACCAAGATAAGATTTTGCATGCAACCATTTTCATTCCTCCACAATCTCCAGTCTTAATTTATCTGCCCAATGTCTTTTTTGGGTAAATAATAATTTGTCAAGGTTTTCTTACCTGCACATTGGATTTTGGGCTGTGACAAAGAAATTAGAAATGGTGCAGTACAGCTGAAAATGGATCTCGGTATCGGACATGACTTAGGAAAAAACTAGTCTTTGAGTTGAACAATTATTTGGATAGAAACTCCTGAGAACTGTTGGTCAAGGGTATTTTTTAAAGGAGAACTATGAGGTGAGTGTTTTTCACTGACCTCATAGTTCTAGCCGACCTGTGACAATGAGACTGTCACAGGTCGGCTCAGTAGATCGGGAGGTGAGTGAACACGTCCTGGCGTTCACTCACCTCTCGATCCTGTCACGGCTGGATTCCCCCCTCCCCGCTCCGATCCGCCAGCGCTGACTGGAGGAACGGACGGGGGAGGGGGCGGGTACAGCTGGCTCTGCCTCTAGGTAGGCAGAGCCAGCTGTCAGCCACGCAGCTGGGCGGATCCAGACATAATTGTCAGGATCTGCTTCAGCTGTGGTGTCTTAGTATACCGCGAGCAGTAGCTCGCAGTATACTGCGGCGTCTCAGTATACCGCAAGCTACAGCTCGCGGTATACTGAGCCTAGTGTGACGTGTCCTCCCGTTACCCTAAGGAGAACTATGGGGAAAAGCCCTAACCCCATAGTTCTCCTTTAAGGAATGAGTATTGCCACTTACATCACAGTTACTTTTTAACCAGATCAGGCAATGGCCTTGCACAGGCAGACCTCACACTAAGGTACAGTGATGGTGAGAGACCTGCTTTTATTTATGAATCACCACACAGCTTTTGTCCCCTGCTGTTAAAGTTTATGTAAACCCCAAACCAGAAATGTAATACATTGCAGCTTACCAGTCCTCACATGTAGTGGCTGCATTCGTGTTTATTTTTACCTGTGATCCTGCAAATAATACAGTTCCTGTCCACTGTATCTATGGAAGGGGTCATGGCTGCCACCCAGGCTAGACTGTGAACTAGGGATGCACCGATACCAAGTATTTTGGTGACTACTCGTACTCGCCCAAATGCTCCGATACCGGAATGTCCGGTCAGAGAAAGATTTCCTCTGACCAGCAGTGCCGTAGGGGGATTATGGAGGCGGCTTCCCGGGCAATCAGGAAGCCGGTTGGCGAGTAATGACCTTTCCGACTTCCTGATTGGCCGGAAAGCCGGCTTCCCAGCCAATCAGCATTGAGCCATCGAACAGCCAGCTCCTTGCTGATTGACTGGAAAGCCGGCTTTCCGGGCAATCAGGGAGGCGGGTCATTACTCGCCGCTGGGAAGCCGGCTCGATGCTGATTGGCTGGCAAGCCGGTTTACCGGCCAAACAGCATTGAGCAGGCTTCCCGGACACTAAGGAAGCCTGGTGGCATGTCATTACCCTCCGCCCGGCTTCCTGATTGTCCGGGAAGCCGGCTCCGGGCCAGCGGAAGGACTGGTATCGGTACTTGGTATCGGCAAGTACCAAAAGCGAGATATCAGTACTCGATACCGAAAAAACTTTATAGATGCATCCCTACTTTAAACGTGTCTGCCTGTGTACATCTCCATGGAGAGTAGTTTACAAAAGGAAGATAACATTTTCTTCAAGATCTGCTCAGAGAAAGTTACAAGACATGGCATTTCTGGAATTATAAAACAGGTCTTTGCTGTGCTTGCTTAAATTGTTCGATGCCTGGAAAAAGGAAACTAATGCAGCCACTACATGAAAGGATTGGTATCCTGCAATATATTTACATTTTAGTTATCATGTAATATGTCACAAGAGATGGATGAATTAGTTGTAACAGCTTGCAGATATCACCTGGAGCTGACTTAATGCTGTAGATTTTAACGTTTGTGCTGAATTTTATTATTTGTGTGTGATCACAAAGCTGGACATCTCTCTAGTCTGTCCTGGAAGCTATGAAGTCACCATCAGGAAGACACTTGTGTGAACTGGCCAGTTATTAATGCTTGAAGTATTCTCCTCACATAGTCCATCTGTTCATAGCTGCACATAGTGTGTCTTACTTCTGTTACTGTCTGTGACCTTATGTTGTGCCCACAGGCCACAATAATGTTTTTGGTAATTTCCTATTGTTCATTTGGCTGTGATTCTGATGTGCTTTTTGGGTTTCATTTTTGCATAGTGTCCTGAATAGGGTGGAGGTAAAACATTCTTGCCATTACTCCAGGTTAGAGGATTTTACAATTGCTTCTTTTGACATTAAAAGGTGAGATCCTGAGAAACACATCAATAAACAGCAAAGTTTTATGCATTAGTTGTGATGTTTTTGTGAGTACGGAATTGGTAGTTTTGTGGTTAAAGCTGTAGGCAATTGCTACTTTGCAGGGGAGGCTTTCTAAAACTGTACGTACATTCATTCCACTTGCATTATTTGGTGCGATAACAGGGCTGCCATTAGCAATTATGAGGCCCTGTACAGCCTGCCTGAACATCTATGCATGATGCACAAATCACAAAAGAGACAGCAGGGAGCCATGTGCCCACTATCCCTGGAGTGAGGTGGGGAGGTGGAGCCTGGGTGTGATGCTGCTTCTGAAGATGACAAAGAAGGCCTGTCCTCCCCGGGTGCTAGATGCTGCTGGGCTGCATGATTGTCAGCCTACTGCTGTCACTGTGTGCCAGCATTGCACAGCACTGTCTGCTGCCTCTGCCCCACTGCCTAAGCTCGGAGCTGCCAATGAAATGCTGCTGTTCGCAGGTCTGCCATTGGGGCACAGTACAGCTTACAGGCAGCACCTACCGGGCTTCCCTGGTCGCCCGATGGGGCCTGAGCCCTGCACAGGAGAACTGCCTGTACCCCCCTATGGGCGGGCCTGTGTGCTAGACATATATTAAGATATATAGTGTGTATGTGTGTGTATGTATTGTGTGTGTGTGTATATATGTGTGTGTGCGTGTGTATATATATATATATATATATATATATATATATAACATTTATTATAATTTCTGGAGCAAAGAAACTTTTTGGAACCCACTGTACATAATCAAGGAAAAACTGGCTACAGAAAGCTGCAATGCTTACTTTCAGTGAGGTTTAAAAGAACAGCTGAACTGCACATTAACGTTAGAAAATAAATGGTCCCAGATTAGAACTACATTTAAGAAAATGAATGGGAATAATTATATGACGATGATATTTTTTTAAACTAAAGGCAGCTCTAGGGCTAGTACCTTTAAAGTGTATGTAAAGCCAAACTTTTTTAGTATGCTCATCTGTATTTGTCTGTAACGGAGAACAATATAGTAATTTACATGCCCACAAGGTGGCACCATAAAAATTTTTAATTTGCTCTCTAATCAAGTGTCGCCTGTGCTACCATAGGCTGGAATAAAACATCTGTGGTTACTGTTCACATTAGTTTACTAGTTATATCCTACATGCGTAGACCTCTGATGTCTTGTGTTTTATGTGACTTAAATCATTGTGAATTACAGACACATGATAATGTCTTCTCACTTATTTCTAATTATCTTTTCAGTACATCCATTCAGCTGGTATCATCCATAGGGTAAGTATTCAACATTTCATTTTTTGGGGGAAAAAAGTTTCCATTTCTGGCTTGCTGCTTTTACCTATGGTAAAATATTACGGCATGGTTATGTTGGGAGGTCTGTTGAAATATTCTGCAGTCTCTTGTTTCAGGCCCTCTGCAGTGTTGATTTGCATCCCCAGTAGGATATAAATTACTGTCTGACAGTAATGATCACTTTGTGCTTCTTTAACAAGGAAAACCAAAAATAAGCTCGACTTGATTCAGTTTTTAATAGTCCTTTCCTTCACGCACACTATAGTCTTTGTTGTGGGAGGATGTAACCTCAAGTGACTGCTTAGTACCAGTTCAGTCTTGGTAACTTTTTAATTGCTTTAATTGTATGTTCTGTATCAAAAGCCAAATGAGTTATATAACCGTTTCCCTGACATCAATTCTTACCCTGAATTTTCCATAGAGGGACATCAATGCTATTAATTCCCTGTATAAATGTCTCTTAACTGGTAACAAGGTAACCTAGTTTCAAGTTAAAATAGATGTCCAGCGAATGTATGAGCTTCATCTTGTTATATTTAGGGTCTGATTCCAATCTGCTTAAAATAGTATTGGTTGGTGGCATTTAGTTAGTGTTTTTAATTCGGTATTAATATTAAATAACTCCTCTGAGCACAGTCATACCTAAATAGCTAAAAAAACATAACCTTATTATAATTTTTGAAGAACAATACTAAACCAACATGTAACAGCTGTATTGTATGGTTTCCATTTTCCCCATTAAAACCTACTATCACAGGCTGGAAAATGTACATGTAAAATTAGGTGATGCACTGACACTAGTATCAATGTCATTACCGAGTATTTGGGCGTTTAATGACCAGCTTTCAGGCCAATCAACGTCGAGCCTTCCACACAGCATGGATCCCGCTTCCTGGGTAATGACATGCCGCCCGGCTTCCTGATTGCCCAGGAAGCCAGCTCCGCGCAAGCGGAAGTATCGGTACTCGGTGTTGGCGAGTACCGAAAGATAAATATCGGCACTCATACTCGATACCGAAAAAACGGTATTGGTGCATCCCTAGTATAAATAGGGGCACCAGATTTCTTTATTTATTACAGGTATTTATAAGGGATGCACCGATACCAAGTACAGTACTCGGTACATGTACAGATACTTATCCAGCTCCAAGACTAACTAGAGAAAAATTCAAAAGTTAGGAGGCAGCTGTCATTTGTAAGGAGCACACGGAGCTCCTGGGATTTGTACATCTCTGTTTAATGTATGATTTTGTTTTAATAAATATAAATAAAGGGATGCACCAATACCAGTTTTGCGAGTACAAGTACTGATACTTGCCCAAGTACTTATAAGTACGAGTACTGATACATTTTTGTTTATTGTCATGTGACAGTTTTTTTAAAAACAATATCGACTAATGATTTCAGGACAGTGGTGGAGCACCAGAGCCAGGTCCCAGCTGCAACCGCTGCAACCCTTGTAGTTCTCATGAAAATGCCAAGTATCGGCATTGGTACTCCAAGTATCGGTGCATCCCTAGTATTTATATAGCGCCAACACTTTACCCACCACTTTACATACAGACCAATCACATCAGTCCCTGCCCTCAAGGAGTTTACAATCTAGGGTCCCTATCTCACATGGATACATATGAGGGCCAATTTAGACAGGAGCCAATTAACCTTCCAGCAGGTCTTTGGATTGTGGTGCAGAAACCCACGCAAGCACAGGGAAAACATGCAAACTCCATGCAGATAGTGTCCTGATTTGAATTTGCGACCCAAAAGTGCTAACCACTACGCCACTGTGTCCTCGAGATGCAAAGGTGCTTTTTGTTGCCCTCAAGGGAGGTCACTTAGGGCCTGATGTCACCGGGGAAGCTCAAATCGGCATTAATGTTTCCAGAAATCAGCTTATTCATTGTCATCCTTACATGAATATACATGGATATATATTTATTAGGCTGTAAATGTGACCAAACATTCACTGCAGGTGAATCAATCACAGTCATGTAAAACTTATGTGCCAGGAAGTTTCACCTGCAGTAAATGTTTGGTAATAGTCACATTCACTGCTTTATAAATGTACTCCTTGGTGTTTCAGTGGCTCTTTATTTTAGAACAACATCTGGGTCTTTAATTATCTCATTCATTTCATAAATGATTAGTGACTACCATAACAGATATGCTATTGTTGTGTATTTATCAACAGGACCTAAAGCCTGGAAACCTGGCAGTGAATGAAGATTGTGAGTTAAAGGTATTGAAAAGTACTTTGCCTGACTGATTTAGCCACGTGGATATCTTGTAAAAAATGTTCTGTATTATTTAGCTCTACAAGTAAATCTGCTACATTCCATAATAGGAATTTTTCAATTGCATCAATATAATGGTAGATTCCTTGTGGCCTGACCAGGATTAGCTGGTCAGGCCACAAAACTTAGACTGTCCCTGTGAGCAGCATGTTTGTCTCCCTTACATAGCAGCTCTAATGTTGACCTCATATATGGAAATTGTTTGGTAGTTTTTTTCCAATGAAAATCTGGTTAAAATTACCTAATGCACAAATGTAACCTAACCACAACAAATTTTTCAACACTGTGAAATGGTCTAAAGTAGGGATGCACCGATACCGATAATAGTATTGTTGCCGGTGCCGAATATTTGGGCGAGTATTCAGGAAGCCGGGCAGCGTGTAATGACTTGCTGCCCGGCTTTCTGATTGGCCAGCTTCCAGACCAATCAGGAAGCTGAGCGCCATGTAATTACCTAGTGACGAGAAGCATGGATACGGCTTCCCTGCTAAGTCTTTACACACCACCTGGCTTCCTGGCTAATCAGGAAGCCAGGTAGCGAGTCATTACACGCTGCCTGGCTTCCTGAATGAGACTTCCGGTATTCGGTATCGGCGAGTACCAGAAAAAAAATAACGGTACTCGTTCTCGATACCGAAATACCGGTATCGGTGCATCCCTAGTCTAAAGTGTTGGTGGTTGGCTCCCTTGATCTATTTAGCTGTTCTTGCAATTGAAAGCTGGTTAAAAATTATTGACATTGTCTGGCCAAGCATAAGACTTCTTACGGGTTCTGAGCTCATTGCAGAATGACACAGCTCCAGCCTTGGAAACCCCATCCACACAGCCTGACATTGTATGTGTGGCTCAAAGCTCTGCTGGACATTTATGAGTTCCAGTAAATAAATAGTTTAGAAAGATTTGCAACTTATGTTGGCTTTTTAAAGATACTACGATGATATTTTCTCTGATCAATGGTAGATAAAACATATCAGTGTATGTGCATGTCAGTAAAACATGACTGGTGATGAGAGGACAAGGAGAAAAGTGTCTGCACTTTCATGTTTCATAAAATTACCTTTACTGTGCAAGCGTGATGGTCAATAAAGAAGGAAATCTGGATCTTTTGTTGCCGTAGGACAATGTTCATTGTCACTGGATGACCTACCGTAAATGTCTTGACTAATTTGAAAAGATAGTAGGCTGCCATTTCTGATGTCTTCATTTGATAATGTTATTTCCCTGGCTGTCTTGCTAATGCTTTGGCTTCATTGTTTTCTTAGCAGTTGACTTGAAACATATTGAGATCAGGGATTCGGACACTTATTCAGAGCATACTTGTTCCTGGTATACTAGACAGTAAATACATATTGTGAATAATGTGTATAGCCCTAGGACAAATTGTCTGTGAAGCAAGTGAAAATATAGATGAGCTGATAAGCTTACATGTTGTACATGTCCTGTGTCACTGTTCTCTAGCTCTTCTTTTTTTTTAAGCTAATGCTTCCTCCTACACTAAACTGTTGGCTGATGTCCACATAATTATTGCTCACATATGTTCACAGATCCTTGATTTTGGACTGGCAAGGCATACAGACAGTGAAATGACAGGTTATGTGGTGACCAGATGGTACAGAGCCCCAGAGGTGATTCTCAATTGGATGCATTATACACAGACAGGTATGGTGTTTGGGCTAGTACTACTACAATGTTACCCCTCACACGGTATGCTTTTCTGTCTAAACAAGCTGTTCATAGATTGCTAATGCATTCATAATATCACTTTACTTACTGACTTAAAATGTTTTTTGTCCTCTGTCTTAGGAATGGTATCAGTATTTTGAAAGTAAATTAGACTGCTGTTCTGAGGCCAGGCCTACATAATCTAATGTTTGTAAGAGATTGTTGGGTAGCACTTAGACCAACAGATGAGCAATTTTGTACATCAGAAATATTTTAATAGCAAATTGAGGCATTTCAGCATGTTAGAAAATGTCAGTTTACCCGCCGCTGATATTTGTTATACAAGACTAAATGTCTTGTATACAAGACTAAATGGACTAAATTCTAGACAAAGTACCCGATTGATGGAGTCCATGGTGGTGCCCTGCCCCACCAAAGATTTTCTGGAGTCTACTACTTGAAACAGAGGAGGGTTAGTCTTCATTCTTCAGTCGTCATAATCTAAAATAAAGAAAAATTCAGTTAGACTTGTGTTAATGGCTGCAGCAAATGAGAAGACCTGAGACTAGCAAGAAAAAAAAGCTGTCCTGCCACTGAAACCACTGACCTTTAAAAAGCTGGTGTGTGACTTATTCTGTTGGGTGGGCTGTGACTGTATTAACCAGGGTTTACATGGCAAAGCGCTATCATATAGATGGTATATACCTTGGGAGTTACAATTTACTTGAAGAGACCAGGGACGTGCGGTCAGGGGAGGCAGGTGAGGCAGAGCCTTACCTAGTATCATGAAGAAAAAAGGTGTCAGCTTCAAGACTGAAGCTGACCGCTTTTTCCCCATTCAGAGCGGGTTGTTTGTTGCAGGTTACACAGCAGGGAAATCCTCTCCGCTGTGTAACCTGTCATGGATGGAGCACTGCCTGTTAATTACAGGCAGCGCTGCATCCAGCTTTTGACAGGTAGTTAGGTTACACAGCAGCGAGCTTCCCCACTGCTTGTGTAACCTAACTTGGTGAAGCAAAAGCTGTCACTGCCTCTACTCTGTTTTAGAGGCGTGAGCTCTGTGGATGGCTTGGACCAATGGCAAAGCGCCATTGGTCCAAGCTATCCAATCAAAAAAAAGAAAACAAAACAGTGGGGACATCGATCTTGATGCCTCACCAGAGACGAGCAAATGAGGGACAGGGAGGGTCCTCCCTGGCTCCTCCCTTCCTCCTCCTTCCCACACAGATTGGTTAGCGAGCTGGGGGCGGGGCTTTGGCATGATGGGGTGGAGCTTCGGCGGGCTGGGGGATGCCTCACCCAGCACAGACGGCACGGCACGTGGAAGAGATTCAAAAAGTGGTTGTGTATTTGCAGAGCTACACAGTCCTAGTATTCCAGTAATAATAAAAACCCAACAAAATGGCAGCAGTAACAGAAATAGTAATAGTCCCAATAAATAAATATAAATGTGGAAAGGAAAGTGGCTGTTAACAGGGCCAAGTAACATATGAGATATTGCAATGATACCTCAATGATACCAAGCAGAATAACACAGGTCCAGTGACAACAAAACATAGGCAAAGTGTATTTCCTTTTCAGGTTCTTAAAATGAATGACTTTCAAATGTAAACTTTCTGTTATGAAATCTTATGTTCTAGAGCAGCTTTACATTTTACCAGTTGATACTGGGCACAATTGGCTGCTTTTTTTTTTTTTTAAGGTAAAAGAAAGTATAGTTGTTTTGTACATTCTCTATTAGATCACAAAATATTTTTCCTGTTTTTTTGTTTGAGGCAAATCCAAAATATTGCATATTAATATTTTGTATTCCACTATCCAACCAGCTGGTGGCACTCTGGGCTTCCTTTCAGATGTTTCCACATTTTACTTTACTATCCTGTTCTTAAAAGCCTGTTTACATGGCATAATGGCGCAAGCTGAAATTACAACACACAAGAAGTCAGAGCAGTGACTCCTCGCATTCTGTCCCCTTCACTTGAGTTCATAGAAGGTTTCAGTCAGAGACAGTGAGGGGAATTTATCAAAACTGGGGCAGTCGTGCATGGCAACCAGTTAGCTTCTCTATTTAATTTTCAAATCTTAACTGAACGAACTGAAGAGAGAGGCTGATTGGTTGCCACAGGCAACTGCTCTAGATTCTGTCCCCTTCACTTGACTTAAAGTGACATTAAACCCTCAGATTTTTTAACATAAACCAATACTGTAATGTGTGCCTTACTGTAATCCATGGTTGTTTCCCTTCTCTTTGCTGCTCTTCCTTTTTAAATCCTCATGTCTTCTCATGCATAAGGAGAAAACTTCCGTTTTCAGCTCAGGGCCTCTTCCTGTAGTGCTGGCTCAGGTTAGAAGCCTATACAAACGTATACACAGACACCGTACATCCATTCCTGAGACAATGTAGTCTGCTGCAAAACAGAAGTTCTGCAGAGCATGAGAACAGATACAGATTTAAAAGGAAGAGCAGCAAAGAGAAGGGAAACAACCATGGATTACAGTAAGGCACACATTACAGTACGTAATTTTTTTTTATGTAAAAAAAAATCTGAGGGTTTAATGTCACTTTAATAGACGGTTTCAGTCAGACAGTGAGGGGAATTTATCAAAACTGGAGCAGTTGTGCATGGCAACCAATCACCGTATTTTTCGCTCCATAAGACGCACTTTTTCCACCCAAAGGGAGGGGGAAAATGTGCCTGTGCGTCATATGGACCGAATCCCGACGTCCGAGACATGCAGTTTCGGGCGCCGGGCGAGTAGTTTTTTTGTACATTTAGCCCTGCTAAAGCAGAGCTAAATGTACAGTAGGAGCCACTTCACGTTTAATGCAAGTGATATCATTAGATCACTTGTATTAAAACCGAGCAACGGAGGCGGTGATCGAGATCACCATAGAGCAGACAAAGAACGGACGTTCTTCGTCTGCTCAATAAATCCTTCCTTCTGTATTAAACTAATGTTTGTAAGTTTGTATCTGTGAGTGTGGATAAAAGATAAATCAGTTAAAATAAAAATGTATGAACTGAAAAATAGTGGTGAAAAAGGGGTTAACTCAAAACATATATTTCATATATTTTGGCTTTAGATATCATTTATTAAAAGTGTCTGAAACAGGACTCTCTGGAGTAGTCTGCGCTACTAATCTGGCACCACTTTTCCACTCCTATACACCACTTTAATAATTGAGGCCTATATTTTCCCTGCTGACCTTTTTTTTATTTTTTTAAGCCAACTTAAAATTACACTTTCATCTAGTAGCATTGAATGCTTTTACTGATGCATTTGCTAGAGATTTTGAATATGTAATTTTAGCCTTAACTGAAATGACATAAAATTTGCCAATTTACAGAATGCAAATTGATTAGACACGTAAGGCTCAAGTGCTGCCATATAGTCATGGTTTACATACACTTTAAAGGGTAATTCTGGTTTCCTACCAAATGTGGGAAATGTAAATGACCTCTTCAAAATGGTCCCCTTTGCCCGCACTTGTAATGTGAATGTTCAATTTACCTTTTTTGTGAATGAAGCTTTGTTCACTCTGGATATCCAATCATGTGCAAGAGGGGAAAAAATTGATTTTTGCTTGCACCTGATTGGATATTCAGGAACACTGCTTCACCTTATTTACAAAGCTAAGTGAACATTCCATTTACAAAGTCAAGAGCCTGTACTCCTTTAGTAAATCAAACCCCCTTAGCTTTAAATGAAAGTTAGAAGAGGTTTTGATGGAGGAAAGAGTTTTTAAAGTTTCTACTAACATTTAAAACTTCATGTTGCATTAAAAAAAGAAATCAAAACATTTAAACTGAGTTCTTAATAAGCTGCTACCGATGGTTTGTTTGACTAAAACAATGCACTTCACTTCTTTTGACACAATTCTCTGCACGCTAAACCAGAAACTAAATGGAATACTAGTAATTAACGTTCCCCTTTGCAGATTGTTTGTGTCAGAAGAAATTTGTTTTAAAGAAATAATAGTTGCTGAATAGAACGATGACTAACATAACTCCCAGCATGCATGCTGAATAAAGACAATATGAAGCAGCAGCAGCAGAATTGTAATGCAATGCACTGATGAAAATACCGTTTAATAAATAAGGTGAACATATGCTCAAAGCATTATGTAAGGCAGTATAGTTACATGAATAGTGAAGCTAAAGTAACTATATAGAACTGGGGCTGTGTTGAGTGCAATATAGATGAAATATGCCACGACCTATTATATAATCTTGACAACATAAACAACAGGCGGGCCACCACTTAAAAGCGTTATTCAGATATGTAATGCGAATTCCTACATAAATATGCAACGGTGTATGGTTCCCTACTTCCCGCTGTGAATTACTCAGTATGTCTATTGCTGCTGTAACCTTGTTTTATGCCCTCAGCACAACTCCTACCGCAGCTGCATTATTATCTCTATTATGCATACGCTCACAAGAACTCCATATTTTGAAGAACAAACCCACAAACACTTTTAATTTCACTCCCACAACAAGAGTTTTTTTTCCTTTTTATTGAAATGTAGCAAAATGGTCTTTTTATCTTTGTGCAGAAATAAAACACACAAAAAACTGATGCCCCTTGTTGTGTTTTCTGAAAACGGCAGTGCACAGAACATAAAGTAAATAAATGTAATGTAAACATAAAGTAAACGTGGTTGTGCTGATGAAATAACTGTAATACCTGAAATGTTTCTGGTGACAGTATAAAAATGCGATACTTTAAAACAAACAAGTTTTTGTAAGTAGGTTGTCAGATTTTTTTCATTCTTTTTTTTTTTTTATGACGTGAACGTTGAGCATAAAAAGATGTTAAAGGTTTTTTCCAGCCAGAGGTATTTTACCCACCGCTGGAAACCAATCCACTCGTTAACATGTATGCTATAGCTGGACCCTGTCCTTTTATTTACACGTTTGTCAGGCTGTGATTTTGTCACAGTACCCCTTTAAGGTCCACCTATGCCTAAATTAATTTCCCTTTATGTAGAAGTGCAAATTGTCTGTATTTCTATAGGACACTAATTACTGAAATGCTTTATTATTTATTCTTTATCATTTTCAGACATGCACCATACAGGGTTATGCCTGAAGTTGCAGAAAAAGATCTCAACTAATGATCAGAGTATCCAACTGTCCTCTGAAGTTTATGGACACCTTGAATGGAACTCTGGGCATAAATTGAGGAAAGAGTAGAACCTCTGTTTGGTGTTTAATTAATTTTGCATAACATTGTGGGGAATGTCATCTCGCCTCCTCTCCTTGGGGTTGTAGGACCTGCCATATCCATTGGGATCCCACCAATATTCATATTTTAGGCATATTCACTTCCAGTCCTTGCCCTAATTGTGTCTTTATAAAGCTGAGCCAACCCATAGGTCACTTTATGCTCAGCTCTCCAGTGCTCCCCTGTTGCTCCTTCCACCTTCAAGCTGCCACCAAAATACCCTTGTTACCTGGTGTTGTCTGGTGTCAGAGCTAAAAGGGAGAGGTGATTTCACCCACTTCGTTTCGTGACAATGGCTGAGCCTAGTAAATGGTCCCATGCACCCCATACCCAGAAACTTGGGATATTTTACAGTGGTGGCCATAGAAGGTGGTCACTATAATTGGATGTGATGATCACCTAGGACTCTCAGCCGAATGGGCTGAGACATGTCAGGAAGCAAGGGATTGTCTGGATATCTGCTTGGGATCCTGGAGCTGGGAGGTTTCAAGGTGATTCTGGAGGAAAGATGAGATCCCTAGTCCTGGGTCCAGGCTTTAGCAGTGGCCAGCACTCGATAATTGCACAGGTGTGCACAGCCATTAAGAAAAGGATGCTGGCTAGGGGAATTAGCTCCAGCTGGGAAAGAGGAACAGACTGTGTTCAGGTGTCAGGAGAACGCCCCCAGAAGTCCGAGAGGAGTCAGGTGGTGAGTGTGCTGGAGGCACACTAAAGGTGCCCATACACCTCACAATTATCGTACGATAATCGTATGCGATTGACTTTTCGTACGATAATCGTGTGAATAGAGTGCCCGACCGATTAGTACTGTACAATCGTACGACTTTTGACAGTCAAGCATGTTTGAAAACTTTGGTCGATCGTACGATGTTCGCATGGTTGGTGGCGTTTCCGTCCGTCAAAAGTCGTACGATTAACACTGCGCAAACTAAAATAATTGCGGTCAATTACCGCAAGTCTTCCAGGTGTTTTTTTATAACTACCGCTGATTGAACCTTGCGATAATCGGGGCAGGATGGGGCCGTCGTACGAAAATCGGTTCAATCATCGGACGAAAAGTTTTGTCCGATAATCGTAAGGTGTATGGGCACCTTAAGACAGCCAAAAGAGACTGGGAGAGAACAAGTGAGGCTTGGAGAGCCGTGAGCCTGAGGGGCCACCAGTACAAGTGTGGGACAGCACTTCAAAGAGGAACAGTGGGTCAGAAGTGCCAATGTTGAAAGTGGAAGCCAGGAGGCTAAACTTGTGTTGCTTTAAAGCCTTTCATGAATGTTGCGCTGAACAACCCCTGCGAGGGTATCCAAGATGGATATATGAACTTTGTGTGGAATAAAAGTGGGCTACCGAGCCCTTAAACCGAAGATATTGCGAGTAGACTGCATTCTTAAGCACTCACCCTATGTGCTAATATCCCCGAACATCACAATATATGTATATATATGTATATGTAAAAATTTATGTGTATGTATATAGCAATACTCTTAACTTTTAACATCCGTTTCCAGTGCAAAATGTATTTGTTTTATATTACCATTTAACTCACTTTTTTTCTCTTTCTCTATAGTGGACATATGGTCTGTTGGCTGCATCATGGCGGAGATGTATACTGGGCGTCCACTCTTCAAGGGTAACGACCGTATCCTTTTTATCTGGTTTCTTTTCAGTTACAGGTATTTTAAAAAATTGTTGAATTACTATCTGATATACAGACATATATTTGCAGTTTTAGCTCCTGTGTAGTTAATTGTTCTGATCCCACTGTTACACTTTGATTTATAATGGAAATGTAAACCTTGAAATGCATACTTGAAGCACAAGCTACCCACTCAGTAATTGTTTTGAATTTAGGCATTGCTGTAGAGCACTAGTTTTCCTCACTAAACTACTTTTGTTGATAACCTGGTGAACTGAGAAACATTACTTGCAGGATGACAAAGAAAGAGGTTTCCCAAATGCTCTTGCTACAGGCTGCTTTCTATGTCTCACATGTGGAAATCCTGAAAAAAGCGTTAGTATTAGTAGAATTAGAAAGAAAAAGGAATTGGCTACACACAAGCTTCAGAAAGTAAGGTCATAGTGACCCTGTTAAGGTGCCCATACACTACTCGATTCTCGTACGAGAATCGAGCAGTGTGAACGAAGACGGGCGACCGTTTTTACTGTACGGTCGCACGTCTTTTGTCGAACCAGCATGCTCGAAAACCCGCCAAGAATCGTACAATTGTCGGCGGGTTTCTAGCATGCTCGTTCGACAGCTGCGGAACGGGCCGGTGTGCGCACGCTGCCCGTACTGCCCGTTCTGCATTGCGGTCATCGAAAGCCCGCCCCTCAGCGATCTACCTGTCCAAGATGGGCAGATCGTACAAGCTTTTAATAAGCTTACGACCATGGTCGTAAGGTGTATGGGCACCTTTTAAGTACCCTGCTGGTTCTGTTACATGTTTCTCATTCACATAGCAAAACATTTAAAAAAATGTCATTGCTACTTGCGGAGTACATGCTCCATTCTTTTTTGTGTAATACATTTTTATTATTATAAAACATATGAAAAAAAACATAAAAGCAACACAGGATGACTGTCAATACTAAATAACATGTAGAATATGTAGAATGGGGGGGGGGGGGGGGGGTAGAG